GACCTTGTATCCAGCTACTCTACTGAATCTGTCAATTAAGTCTAGAAGTCTTTTGGCTGAGTTTTTTGGGTCTTCTATGTAAAGTATCATATTGTCAGCAAATAATGACATTTTAACTTCTTCCTTTCTTTTTTTGGTTTTTTTTTTCTTTCTTTTTGGTACCAGGGATCGAACTCTGGACATTGTGCTTGTGCGGCAGGCGGCAGAACCACGGAGCTAAATCCCCGGCCCCTTCCTTTCTTATCTTTATACCTTTTATTTCTTTCTCTTTTCTCATTGCTGTGGCTGTTTCCAGAACAATATTGAACAGGAGTGGTGATAATGGTTATCTTTGTTTTGTTCCTGATCTTAGTGCGAAAGTTTTCAGCTTTTGACCATTTTGTATGATGTTGGCTGCTGGCTTTTCTTTCTTTCTTTTTTTTTTTTAAGAGTAGGAAACATTTATTGGGAGAAAGAAAGCGTCTGCCTAAGAGAGACAGAAGGGGGACCGAAAGTGGGTTGCCCGCTCACCCCACTTTTCAAAGATGTTTTGTACAGCAAAGCCATGTGGTGAGGCGGGTACAAAGTGGGACAAAACTATAAGACTCAATGGAAATTTACAAGGTGGGCATGAGGTGGGACAAAACCATGACCAACCAATTACAAGATTACAAGTACAGTCACCCAGGTAACACTGATTAAATGGGGATCAAATGGGAAGACAAGTCACATATAAGGAATTTTCCATTTAGAGTATCGATCACTGCTATCTATCTCTAGGGGAAGTAGTACTTCTTTTCCTTTTTATAATGCTAACCAGTGAATGTGCCTCAGTTGTTCTCCTCAGTTGTTGGTTCCTTGCTGTGTTGGCTCCTGGAGGGCTCCTTAAGGGAGGCCCTGTCTACCTGCCAACAAGATACCTAATTAACTTACCTATCTATAATATTCCCCCCTCTGAAGAAGTACCCCTAACTGCTGTGAGGGGGTAAAGGGCGAAGACAGGTCTGGCTACTTCCAGCTGATGAGGGTCATAGTTGTGATCAGCAGTCAGACTTACTCTACAGAGTCTATCTAAAGGCCCTGGATAGGTGCCAGGCATTGTCATCTTGGTAGTCATATAGCTTGAGTCAAAGATGCAGGATCCTGTAGGAAAGGTTCCTTCATGTCCTGGATTCTTTGTTGACCTTGAGGGGCCTGGGCCAAAATATTGGCTGTCCTCATAGCCCAATTACCTTTCTAGTTTTGGTCTCCAAAATGTCCATCTTAGTATGGAATAGTCTTTCGGTCAAACACCTCCATCTGATCCCAAGACATTAAATGACATAAAGAAAACTCTTATTTGTTATCCTTTAGTAGGATGCCATCTCCGACCAGTAATCTTGGTGGAAGACCACCAAAATGATACAGGGGGAAGAGTTGAAACTCCCAAACCTACTAGATGTCTGAAATGCAAGTTTGTGTTCTCTAAAATTGAAGAATGAATTCTAGGAACAACAGAGGTTAAGAGTAGGAAAAATTTACTGGGAGAAAGAAAGCTTCTGCCTAAGAGAGACAGAAGGGGGACTGGAAAGTGGGTTGCCTCGG